TCAGGCATTTTTGGAATTCTACTTTTTATATTTCAGTGCTTTGAGGATGGAACAGCTTATGTGCTAACTTTTCTTCTCCTCTTCCATATAGCTGCCTCCTTTAGATACGAGTCGCTCACCTCCTTTATGATTCCCCTGCCATTCTGATCTGCCTGACTCACTGCCCTTCTGTTTGGTGGCTTCTTTTCACCTTCTGTCACAATTGTTCCTTCCCGCTGTCTGGAGTTTGACAGCTGACTGTGGAGCTCTTTCTATCATGCTCCAGCAGTGGCAGGAGTGGCACGGAAATTGTATTTTTAATAAAACATAGTAAATCAGAAGTTTTTTGAAATCTCACAGTTTAGCATTCCTTAATTAAATGTATAATTCATGAGCTTAGAACTTTGTGCCAACTGATTCATTTCAAAACCTCGCCTCTTTCTCCCGTCCCAAGTCCTTGCCATCATCAATGCCATTTTTAAAACATTATTTATGTTTTCAGATGCAACATCAGCGCAGTATGATAATGAGTTTGTAAACACCAGTGGTTTCTGTGAAATTTTACGCTGACTTCCCATAATATTATGTGACTATAATTAGAAACAGCATGTCACGGGGGATCTATCAAGGATGCTTTCCTTCTGAAACCTTTCTCTAAAAACTCTACACCATGAAATACAGTTAGGAAGTTAATAAAATTTAGCAAGAGGAAGTTTATGAAATAATGCATCTTCAAGATCTTTTAGGCAGCATATTCATGAGAGTCCTTTTTATGAAATGTCTTATGCAATTCCTTCTATTAAGAAAACATGTATTTCAGATCAATACACTGAACATAATGTCACGTTAGTTAGAAAATATCACAAAAAGCTGTGAATACAAATGAGAATTTTGAAAATATGTTATCATGGAATAGCAACAGAAAATATAAATTATGAGATCAGGATCATTTTTATCCCTGTGACTACTGAAATTTCTCCTAGAGAGGAATACGGAGCAGATGATGTGATTTCTCTTCAGGTAAAAATATCTGGGGAATGACAAGAAACACTAAGGTTGCTAGATCTGGGAGTGGACCCTGGGGAGGGGAGGGACCTCAGCATGGTAAAATGCCACAGAGTCCACCTTCCAAAACAGCCATATTCTCCAGGGGAACTGAACTCTATCATCTGGAGATAAATTGTAATACTGGGGGGACCTCCAGGTACCACCTGGAGACTGGCAACCTTAAGAAACATCCAAAAGAGTTTTAAAAAGAATAACTCCTGGAAGACGAATTCCTTGAATCACTATGATTTTGCCTCCAGCAAACTTTGAAGTGAATTTTGAGATACCTTTCTCAGGTAAAACATCCAAGGCAGTTCAAAGGAAGCCAAATAGTTTTGATATGGCTAGCAATATTCGTTAGAAGGAAGGGGTTGCACATCTTTTGATAACTTATTTAAACTGTGCCTTTAGCCTCCTGTAATTTGTTATGATATTTGGTTACTTATGATGTCTGAGACCCTTGATCTGGAGATGAAAAGCATGCAACTGGTCACTGAACCATGGCCTTTTCTCATGTGCCATGTCAGACCAGGGCAATGAGAACAACACAAAGCTAGCCCGAAACCTGATAGCTTTCCCCCACCCCCAGTTTAGTTCACCTGGTTTAAAGCACACAGGGCTACATAAGGGACCCTATCCTTGCTGGTAAACCTAGTTGCTGGATCAAGTCCAGCTGCACGATAATTAGGGTTGCTATGTCTGGGTTGGAGACTTTGGGGGTGGATCCAGGAGAGGGCAGGGTTTGGAGAGGGGATGGGCCTCAGCATGGTACAATGCCATAGAGTCCACCCTTCAAAACAGCAATTTTCTCCAGGGGAGCTGATCTCTGTCACTTGGAGATCAGTTATAAAAGCGGGAGTTCCCCAGGCCCCACCTGGAGGCTGGCAACCCTAACAATAATGCACAGGTATGTGACCTCTATTCTCAGCTTCTCCTCTTTGCTACCACCCCTTTGCAGGCACCAGCAGTTTATCAGATGCCTGACTCCTGAGAGCATTCAATTTCCATGCAAGGCCTGCCATAGATGAAGGAATGTTGGGAACTCATGAGTAGACAAAATTATGCAAATCGAAATCACAGTAATGTCCTGTCTTCTTCTTTTTTAATTATCCCCCAGACCCTGCAATACTTTTAAGAGTATCTACATACATTTTATTTTAAAATGTCCATCTTTCAGAATAGGGAGGTAGTATCTGTTTTTGCCACTTATAACATGTAGAATGTTCCAAAAATGTTCCAAAAACAATATTTTCCCCTTCATCCTTGTTTAAGAAACATACTTTTAGTAGTTAATATGAATATATATTACACTATATTTAGGGACAGTATATTCCATGATTCATTGGGACTTGTGATTCACCAGAAAGTTGGTAAAAAATTTAAACATATGGAGATCAAAAGTTAGCAATACTTTTCTGAAACCCAGAGTGTTTATTTGCAATGGCTATTGTTTATTCTTTTTAAAAATGTCATGGCTCTACGTCCTGTATTAAAACATCACTTTATAACTTTTTTGTATACAAACTTAGAAGTAATTCATCGTAAATCAATTTGTTTTATGATTCACTTCTAAAAATGATTACGGATACAATAGCACATGATCCATACTAGCACAGATGTGGAATAGATGTGTGATGAAATTAATTCAGATGTATGACGAGATTTATTCACTATCCTTCCAGCCACTCCTTGCATGTCTGGCCACTACAGAGATTAAGAAGTCTACATGCACATTCCTTATCACTATTGAGCACACAACCAGGCCATCACAGTGGTAACATTCTGAGTGAGAGTAACAAGCTTCTCTTGAACCATGTAGGCCCCCTACTGACCCCGAACACTGCCACACTCGTGCTAGTATGGATTGCACTCCAAGATTTTAAATAAATATGCATGCTTAGCACATTCCGCTTATTTATGCTGGAAAATGAAGTGAAACACAACACAAAACACCAACTATTACCTCCATAGTGGGATGGGGTACCACAGAGTAGAACGACTCCTTGTCCTTCTCTGACTGATACGGTGCTTCTTGTTTTGGTTTCAAAGTTGTCAAGATCTTTAGGGAAACAGTTAAAAGTCTGTCAGATTTACCTATTTTCAAGCAATGGAGCTGTGTTGTTATCCAGACTATGGCCACATATATATATTTCATCTTCTTAAAATGTATGGTGCTCTTTTGGCTATAAACCGTTTCAGCCTCTCAAAAACATACTGTGAATTCTCTTATGGAGGGAAATTAGAGCTATGTATTTATACAATGAGAAAACATTTTTAAAATGTATGCTGTCTGTTTGGCTATATGCGTACTTTTTCTAAGGGACTGAAAAGTATTTTGTACTATCACACCTGCTGTGAACTTTCTGAAAAATTCATGGGAGGACAAGCTCAGAACTGCAGCATGGGCATGTGGAAATCTTTGCACATTGTCACTGCTAGGGACAAGAGATGGAATCAGAGGGAACAGTTCCAGCCATGGGTTCTAAGCCCTTTGAGTGCCCAAGCCCTGTTCCAAAGCTAACCTCATCAACAGTCATTTGTGCCCTTTTGGCTTTCCATTTCTAAGGCACCTCTATGTTAGCCTAAGCATCTATTTTTGGCTACTTTATGAACTATGTCTTATGAATTAAAGCTTGACACAGAAAGGGCTAGTGAAGAGACTGTGGAACATAAAGGTCAACCAGGGGGCAGCCAGAGACGATGCCAGCTGCATAGGATGATCTACATCAACTCAGCAGGGCCCCCAGAGTCATTAAGCTCATCATGTGTATGCAAAAACAGAGGTTGATCGCAAACACAGAAACTCATTAGCCAGCCCAGACCGAGTGTCTCCACCTGACAAGCTTAACTTCTGAGGTCCTCCTGTGCTAGACCACAATGGAAGTCCATTACACATAGCAACAAGACACGTCAGCTCTACCGGTGACTCGGCACGTATCCTGCCCCTGCCCAGGCACCTCCCCATCTAGTTAATCAATAGATTGAATATTGACCCCATACCCAATCACTGACCTGTAGGGTTGGGCTACCTGATAATCTGCTTGAGCCCACCCCCTCCCCTCTCGCCGGAGACCTTAAAGATCATGCACAGAGCCAACAGGGCAGCTCTTCTCATCCCCTCCAACGACCCCTTTATGTCTGCTTAACCCTCTCTTGTCCAACTTGATATCCCAACTCCCGAAAACCGCTTTGCCTTAGTCTGCAGCTAAGGTCAATCCACGTGTTCCCGGCTGGTCTGGATTCACGTGTTTTCCACCCTATTTCTCCCCTTCCATCCCCTCATCCTGCTGGAAGCTTTAGGAGCTGAGCCACGCCGAAGATAAATATACCCCACCAACGATACTTCCTGCTAATGCAACCGTGCTGTGAATATCTGACTTGCTTTTCTTAGTTCTTGTGTGTTTGTTTGGTTTTTATTATTATTCTTGTGTGCCTGAATTATAACTAGTAAAGAAAGCTTTATTTTACTACCGTTTCGTCTCATCATTGAAGCGCGCTGGTACAGCCCATCCTGCGTATACATAGACCTGAATCCCGATTATTAAACTGTTCCAGTTGTCTCTCCTAAAGAGCAATTCGGCTAACATCTAGGCTTTCTGAGTCCTCTAACCCAGATGCCAGGACAGCTACCTCCAGGTATCTTGCCATTACTGTGTCACAGTGCTCCTAGGGCTTTTGGGGCCATTTGCTTTGGGAGCAGGGACAAAAACTTGTTGGATCTTTTTTCCACCCATCAGCGAGAAGCATTTCAAATCAGATGAACAGTAAGCTCCCATCACCCTGTGCAATAGCCCCAATCCAAATTAGATTTACACAAGTCTGTTTTTTTAAGAGTTCTGTTCTTAAGAGTTTTTAAGAGTTTTTAAAAAAATAGTTTTAAGAGTTTTAAAGACTTTAAGAGTCTCCTAGCCTGTAAAGAATTAGAGAGGAGAATACAATTAAACCAGTGAAGTCCAGTGTCCAGATTTTAAAAGAAGAGTTCCATTAAGGGAATAAAATGAATAGTGCTAATAAAGTAGAAATATATTTTGCTTTGTTTTTTACAGAGTAAGTTTTTACAGAATTTGTTTTTATAGAATACAGAATGAAACACATTTCCATTACTCTGAGACCTAGAGCAAGTGCACTTCTTTAAAAACACACGCACACAACCAAAATAAAACTTCATAGATATGGATATAAAAGATTTTTCTTTGATGCAAGACCATTGTGGATAGTACCAGCAGAAGTTCTATCGTCATACACGAGGCAAAGCGGTAAAGAATGGTTGCCGTACAGAGATTTAATTAAAAAAGTTGGTACAGAATGGCAAATGAAAGAGCAGGATGAAATACAGTATAAATATGTATGGTTGAGCTATTTACAGATAGTTGACTTGTTCAATTCAGATAAGAAAAAATATGGTTTCAGAGAAGAGAAAAATGAAATTGAAACTGTCTGGGAGGGAGGAGGGAAAAAAGCGATTTCTACCGTATATAAAGTTTTGTTAAAATGGTATACGGAAGACGAGACGGTGAAAGAACAAATGCTTAAATGGGCAGTAAATGTTAATACTGAGATTTCTATGGATTCCTGGGAATATCTGTGGAAGAACTCGATTAAAATTTCGACCTGTACTAATGTGAAGGAGAACTGTTATAAAATGATGTACAGGTGGTATATGACACCAAAGAAAATAGCCAACATGAGTCAAAATCTTTCCAACAAGTGTTGGAAATGTAGAAAACATGAAGGTTCATTTTACCATATGTGGTGGACATGTGAAAAAGCTGTGGACTTCTGGACCAGGGTCCACAGCGAAATGCAAAAGATTCTGAAATGTTCCTTTAAGAAAGCGCCAGAAATTCTGCTCTTAGGACTTAAAATGGAAGCACTGAATATTACAAAAAGGTCTCTATTTTGGTATCTGATTACAACGGCGAGACTACTCTATGCACAATGTTGGAAACAAGAAAGAATTCCAGAGTTAGAAGAATGGATACAAAAAACTTTGTTTATGGCGGAGATGGACAAAATTACAAAAAAATTGAATAACAAAGAAGATCAGGAATTCTATGAAGAGTGGAGAGACTTTAAAGTTTACCTAGAAAAGAACTGGGATGTGAAACATAACTTACTATATTTGGAACAATATTGAAATAAGAATATGATGTTATCTTAAGTTGTGCTGGAGGGACGAGGGGGGAAGCGTTGCGGGAAGCCAGCGGGAGGGAGAGAGTAAATTGGGGATATTGGTATGGGGTTAAAACTGAAATATTAATTTGAACTGATGATATGTCAATATTTTCATGAAAATAAAATTGTGTTCAAAAAAAAAAAACTTCATAGATATGTTTGTGATGAGGATGCACATTGACAGTACTTTTCCATTTGTTATTGTTATTTTGCTATCAAATAGTAACTGACTTATGGTGATCCTATAGGGTTTTCAAGGCAAGAGACGTTCAGAGGTGGTTTACCATACGTGCCTCTGTTCAGTGAGACTGGTATTCCTTGGTAGTCTTCCATCCAAGTACTGACCAGGACCAACCCGGCTTAGTCAGCCCCCCTACATACACACACTAATCCGGTCCGAGCGAGGCTGGCCCATCGGGTCGTGTCGCGCTCAGGCCGTCTTTGCCTCCTTGCAAGGAGCGAGGCTGCTCCGGGGAGGAGCACATCCAGGGCTAACAGGGGGGTGGGGCCGGAGGTTTCCTGAGCCGGCCCTCGCTTCCCTCCTTCATTCGCCGCCTGTGCTCGGCCCACCCTTCACCCAGTTTACAGTTCAGGCTCTGCTGGTCGCCCATTCAGGGGCCAAGTAGGAATTTTTCACCTCTTCCTAATTGGCTCAGGGAAGGGGTGTTTTTGCCTACTTTGGACTGTAGCTGCAGCGAAGGCAATTCTTGGGTGTGGTTGAGTTTAAATAGGTGGTCACTTTAGTTGGCAGGTTGTTATTCCAAACAGATTGCGGCACGGTGAGCACCGGCTTATAACCCATTTGGGAATAGGGGTCTTGTCGGTACAGTCTTTGGGCCCTGCAGCCCGGGGCGGGAAAAACAGACTGCCTAAGAGTTTGCCCGGGACTTGCCTCCCTTTGAGCCTCGCGGCTCAGGGGTGGTTATCCCTGGCAATTACCCTGGCCATGCTGGCCGGAGGTAAGGCATTTCGTTTGCCTTGCCTCCAGGGCTGGGTGGCTCGCCCTACATCATTATGGCGAGGGAAGGGTCTCTTGACCCCTAGCCTTGCCATGTCGCATTCAGAGTATCCCTTACAATTTTGTTGCTGTTATGCTTTGTTGTAGTTAATAAAGTGGCCCGTTAGTACCCAATAGTGTTGTCTGTCTCATTATTCCGGATATGGGGGCAATTATTGGATTTTTAAAGATCGAAAGCCACCTCATTAAGAATATGGTGGGGGAAGGTACTGGAAGGAGGAGAGAGATCAGAAAGTGTCATAATCCTTATTACCTATACTGCAATATGGTAAATATGTGAGTATTAGAGTTCCTATCATATGCCTATGCGTTCACCTTTACATAGCTATGGAAATCAGTGATGAAAGCTAGACTCTTAGCACTCTGGAAATTATTAACCAGATTATATTACTGACCTAAGTGGTAATATTGGGGTGTGAGCTTTTTCAATTAAATCTATGTGCTTATCTACAATACTGGCACCAGGACACTACATCTCTTACTATTATTATAGTCCCTAGAATAATGCTGTAACATAGCATGGCATAAGCTAATAAAATCTCTCTTTTTTTGGTCAAAAAGAACATAGCAGAGATCAGGTGTTTGGAATGGATTGTGACTGCTAATAGACATTTAAAGAACAGCAGCCTTATTTCACAGATGGTATATTCTCTAACTGTGCTGCTTTCTGCAGAAATCTATGAATAAGTTATCACCTGACTCCCCATAATTCTCTCCTTCCTGTGCCTGCATTTGTCTTACTTTGTGAAAATCAACTTGCTTCACACTGCATTTTGCTATCAGCTCCAATTGCCTTCCAATTGCACTCTCCCCTCCCTATAATTCTCCTTCATCATTGCATTCTGGCATATGACTATTGGCACAGT